TTGATTGGTGGCTTCCGATTTTGGTGGGCGATCCGACGATTACTTGAAGATGAGATCTCAATCCTCCAGTTAATTGCTGTGGCCGCTCCCGCTTTCCCTTCCACAGTTTCTGCTGGTGCCTCAATTAAGCCCATCGTTGGACAGCAGAAATCAGAGTTACGCATTTCCAATTGCATAATCATCATCCACTATCTTTTTGCTGTTTACCACAGTTACTGTCTGCCTGTCTGGCCTGTCTGGAGATTTTCATGGCTTGCGAAAGTAAATACTTTACCAGTCCACTCTTTTCTGCGCTATTTTTAGCCTTTTTTGGCTTCCTGAACAATGCGTGCAGTTATTAGTCGTTTGATTCATTAATCATGTGTGGAGAAAAGTAGAGACGGTAAAGACATAGAGAAAAGGTATGGGAGAAACCTGCAGGGTGCCTAGGAAAGGTGAAAACCCCCAAAAGCTTGAGATTATTATACATTTTGTTTACATCATGATATAAGAAGCTTTTCTCATGGGAGTAGGACTTGCACTTGGACTTCCACTTTGGCAACATTCGTTGAATAATACGAATGTCTGAATTTCCCAAACGTCACCACAGGGAGTTAAGCAGCATTTAAACCTCGAATGAAACATCAAGGAACAAAGGTTTGCTCCTAACTTCCCTTCGACCCAAATGTAACTTTCCACTGGCTCCCATTTAAATAAATTCAATCAATGATTTCCTCAATCATTGTCACAGTGAGATCTGTCCCTTTTTTAGTTTTACTCTTAGATTAGTGTTTCATTTCCCCTCTTTGTGTGAGGCCCCAACTGGTTCGTTGGATTAACGTTTTTAATTAACTTAAATCAATGACAGCTTACATTGGCCAGAGAAACGTTGCAAAACGTCTAGAGCTAGGGACAGCGATGGGGCTTGACCATTGTGGCAGACAATGACAGAGGCAAAGCGCAGCAAAACGAAAGCCGCAAAGATACCTCAGACTTCGTCCGGGCCGTGGCTTTTAAGTGCCTATCCCCACAGTGCCCAGGGCGGATAGACAGCTGCTGGACAATTGCTGCAAATCACAGTCCGACATTCGAGGTATTTGTTTCCGCTGGAAAGTTGCATGGCAATCGAGAGAGTGGCCAAGAAGAGGGCGGGGGTCCAGGTCCATTCAAAGAGATCTAATACCAGCAGCAGAAAAATTGCTAGCTCTATTTTAATTACGCCCAACAACTGACCGACCAAAGCAGTGAACCTGCCCCGCCAGTAATTTGAGCCTCAAGCAGAAAGCCAATGTTATCCAAGATTGCTGTGAGAAATGCCAGAAAGGCCACTCTCCATCAAAGCCGAAGAATCCTCCATTTGAGGGTGGTAATGTCCGTGAGTCCAAGCGATGGTGTGTGAAAGTCCATGGCGGAGAGTGGATCAAGTTCGAATTACCATAAAATATGCAGAGACAACGCATGCGCAACACGTAACCCGAGCGGATAGATGGCCCGATGCAGACACAGATATACGGCAGGGCGATACATGCAGATACAGATATACAGCAAAGTCCAGTGCTGTTGACCCTGTCCACAGGGTTACCAGTTCACCTTGGAGGGCTGCCGTTGAAAAAGCCGTTTAGCTTGGCGATTTCGGGGCACATAAAAGTTGCAGTGACAAAGGAATCCATCATCTACAACTCCGAAATGGGCGGAGGGGCCAGTTTTGGTAGCGCACTACTCGTATCTGAATAAGCACAATATTATTTGAGTGGCCTTTGAACGAATTTCATGCTTGCCGAACCGTCACCTCGCACTATATGCACTATATACGATCTATCTGTGCCCTCTAGGCGGATATTACGACAAAACTTCTGTTTGTGCGAGCGGCCTTTTCAGGCCACTAATTGAATTATGTTGCACATTTTGGCAGGCAGAATAGGCTTCATGCTTGATGAGATTGCTTTTACAAACAGAGTTCTGTGCAAGAGTCGGATATTTGCCAATTGAGTTATTGCCGTTTGGATTTGTTTTTGATTTTGCATTAGCCTTTGATTTGGCCCTGTTTCTACCTCTGCAACTACCTGCGGTTTCCCAATGGAAAGTTGGGAAAACTCTTTTGAATTTCGACAAAGTTCTGTACGCGGGCACAGAGCCAAACGGGTTGGTTAACTGATTTAGCCTGGTTTGAATCGCTTTGTCACGTTTTCGATATGCGCCAAAATGTGTTCAAAGAGAAGTTTGGCAAAAGTTCTTCACCGGTAAAATACAGAATTTTCCATCGTTTACAACTTTTTTAATCTACGCCTGTTTCACGCTAGCTATGTTTTTCCGAGTGCCTTTTAATTTCTTCTACCTCTGCCATCACATCCGCTTTTGATGGAGCCTGTGGTAAACCAATTACTCAATTGCAAGATGCCTCACCTCCCCCCCCCCAAGGGACCCAAGCCTTTCAGTTTTTTGGGTGTGTGTGTGAAGGCTGAATTCTGATAACCTGAATTTGCAGAAACAAAAATGGGAAGGGGGTAATCAGGGAATCATTATACATATACACAAATTTATTCCCAATTTATAGACTTTGACGAAGAATTAATCAAGGTTTGATAATTATTTTGCGAAATATGAAACGAAATGGGATCACGAGTACTCGTATTTGTTTGTTTATCTATAAAATTTGCTCATTTTGCTGAAATTGTATAGGTATACAAATAGATTGTTTAATGCTTATACCATATCAGGTTTTCCTTTACAAACTTTTGTTTGTTTTCTTTGAAATATTTGCAGTTTAATATTGTCATTTAAAAACCAGTTTAAACAATACTAAAACAGCTTATGCGAGTATTTTGCAAGTCTAATCAAAAGATAATCAGATATTTGCAGTCACGTAATGTATTTATAATTTATCCACTCCACCATAACAGATTTCAGACATAAATAATTATACATTTTCAGAATTCGGATTGAAGAACACCGAATAAAAGTGAGTCTGCAAAGCTCAGGCCAGAAGTCGTACCCTCTGTACCCTCTGTACTCTCATTCCCCCGTTCACTATTTAGAGCGATATCAATTACAAGATTTTCTGTGCTCTCGCTCTCTCCCTCGCTTCTTTTCAATAAACAATTCTGCTTGCTTTATTGGTTTTCCTGATAAACTTGTTCGGCTCCGCTCTCTTTACTGAACGGACAACCTGTCCAAAGCTCTCACAGAAGTCAAACCGTGAGAGAGGAGTTCTGAGAGGGGAGGGGAGAGAGACCGCTCAGCAAGTTTTCAAGATCAAAAAGCGAATGGAAGTAAAGAAATTGCACAAAAATGTACAACAAAAAGCAAAAGAAAGAGAAATAACTCTGGAGCCCCTCTGCTACTGCGGGAGAGGTAGCCGTACAGAATTGCAAAGTATGACTCGAACCTTTCACTGCAGAAGAGAGTTAGGTTACGTAGGGGAGCGAGAGGGGACACAGCGATAAACATGAAGAAGAAGTGCCGCGCAATTGAAAAGTGGCACAGATGGCTTAAAGCAACGGTAACCAAAAAAGGAGAAGGTGCCAAAGGAGAGCAAGTGAGAAAAGGGAACAGAGTAGACCAGAGCAGAACAAAACATGTCAGGAGCTGTGCGAAGTTGGAGAGGGTGGGTCAGAGCATAATTGGAGTGAGAGGGATGGGCGGTGGGCCAGCAGCATCATCAGCAATCAGAAAGTATAGGGGGTGGAGCAGAAGCCAAACGACGCAAAAAGCGTGTGCGTATCAACAAAAGAGAATATACGGGGGTTGAGGCTGTGCCTGGACCTGGCCTAAGGGCGTGGGTGGCTTGGATGTTGTGTGGGGTTGGTGGGAACGAACAGTAGCAATCACTCTGTCCCGTTGCTCTTTCTTTTACATTTTTTCACTTTTTGTTTTTTTTTTAATGTGTAACATCTCATAAAAGTAGAGCCTAAACTCACCTGGAAAACTTATTGGCACGCTTTGTGGAGCGAGCTGTTTAATAATTTAGCGGGCACCGAAGAAGGCGATGACGATGTATCAAACTGCAACGATTTCGGAATATTTTAGAGATATTTTACTGTGGAATCCCCTTTGTTTAATGGTATTGGGCCCACGGAAGGCCTAGAGTGCACGCTGAGGTTCACAGTTAGTATTTGCATTTAATAAAACGGGTGGCAGTGTACCACAGCTCTGTTTTGATTGAGCGCGCGCAAAAAATTATACACAAAATCAGTAGCACAGGCACACACACACAGTGGGAGAGAGAGAAACACACACAGTCACACAGAGACGAGCTAGAGACGAACGGATGCCCTGGACCTGAGCTTAAGCTTGGGCGCGGCGAGAGGAGACACACGCGCGCAGAGAAGAACAGTACCGTAGGGCGTGTGTGTGTTGGTGTATGTTGAGACTCCAAAGATTCCAGGCACGAGAAGTGCAGACTGCGACGACGCTCGATTCAGGGCTCCTCCGGCTTATGGTAGATATTCAAAACTCCGATTCGACTTCTTGATTCAACTTTTCACCGTTTGTAACTGCGGCTTGCGACTTGCTGGTTTGACTTTCCTAAACTTTACCAGCAATGCTTTCAAAACCAGCTTTCTGAATTTCGCTCTCCAACTCATTTTTGCGTATCAACTTTGAGCTCTCTTTTGGATGGAGCACGAAGCAACAAAGTATCGATGGTTCGGCGGTAACATACTCTTATTTTGAAAGTAAGCGTTATGATATATTTAAGAGATTTATGATTTTGAAATTGTTTTGAAGCGGTGATTCTGAGAAACGTATGAGCCTCTCTCGCTCAAAGTAAAAGTATGAAACCGTATGAAAAGCTCCCAAGCTACTCAAATCACAGTCTGGGCTTTTGAGCGAAAGAACGGTTAGAGGCAATGCTGCCAGACTACTGGAAACAGTCAACAGTTCAAGCTTGCTGGCTGCCCTATTGGAAAAAGCTTAAGGTTGAATTTAAATTTCATTATTCAATTGAAAACACGTTTAAGCTGACACTTGTCATATGATGATGTGGAAAGTTATCAAAAGAAAACCAAGCCATGAGCTTTTGCTCATGTCAAGTTCTTAAAGGTTGTTACAATTGTTTTCAACTCAAATTGGGGGGTAATTTGGAAAATGCCCATAATAGACTATCATTTTCACGCCCAAACAGAAAGATAATGAGTTACATGGATGATTGCTTTGCTGGGGCGCCGCAAGACTTTCTCATCTGTATCACGGTGCACAAGGCCGCCAAAGTGGGCCTGGCCACGTCGGAGCTTTACGTCAAAGTCATCCTGGATAAGACTAGCAAGAGCACCAAGACATTCCCAAACTCTGAGAATCCCTTCTTTAATGAGGTGAGAGGTAGGACAATAACTTCTGCAGAATATTTAAGGAATATTTAATCCACAGTACTTTGTGTTCGAGTTCCGCTGCACGCTGACTGACCTGCTCCGGATGACCATACTCTTCGAGCTGAAAAAGACCCAAACCCTCGTGAGGAATGTGGTGGTTGGGGAGCTGCTGATCGATCTGCACAGCGTGTGGAACCAGCCGAATCACGGATTCTTCAAGAAATGGGGTCGCCTAGAGCCACCCGTCGGGGAGAATCCAGCCAGCGATGAGGCCAGCATTTTGCACCATGGTTATTTGCAGATCGATCTGGTCATTGTCTCGCAGCACAGTTCGTTGGTGAATAGCAACCCCAATAGCAACGAGGAGCCGGACACCCAGAGCCTGAACAAGTGGACTGTGGACCAGGATTATGACGACATTGAAAAGTATTTTTCATTCCATCATTTCACGTTCTTCCGATCGCTAACCAAACCAGAGCTCATCCCCAGGAATCTGCTGCTGAACCCAAACTCTTACACGCCGAGCAACATCCGCTACACTATCGCCTTCTATCGGGGCTTCTTCGTGCGGAAGGGCAGCTACATGATCCAAGTATTGTTCACTTCATGCAACAATTTACATTTACATACCTCCTCCACCTGTGTGTGGCATTGACTTTTATCTTTTCGTTTCTAAAGTACAGATTCCATCCTTTCACGGGCAAAACTCCGGTGGCCAAGCAGACCGCGACGCCCGTGTGGAACCACGAGATCAGCTTTGCCTGGATGTACCCATCGCTGGCGCAGCGTTTCCTCATTCTGGTGCTCGTCCACGAGCACATCAAATGGAAATGTGTGGCTGAGTACGAGCTGTCCTTCGAGGAGATTGCCTTCAAGAGTGAGTGCACCAAATCTAAACACTCCTCATGCTTCATGGCACACCTTATCCATTCTCTGGCAGGCATACCCTCCCTGGGACCCACTTACCTGCACCTGTACGATCCCGCCAATGCGCTGACCTATGTGGGCCGCATCCTGCTGGAGTTGCGCTCTGAGGATGTGGCTGAGGAGAGGCCCTCCCATGTGATACTCTCTGAGGATATTCACGGCTTGGATGAGTCTCGTTTTTGGAAGGAAGAAATATTCATGGTGGAGTTTCTGCCATTGCTCGGGGATCACATCCAAAGCAGTGCTAGCAGCTACAAAATCTCAATGAAGCTGGCTGAGAACACTTCCACCGTTGTGGAGGGTCCCCTTAAGACGCCAGCGGGCAAGTTCCGATCGGCGATGCACTCAAAAAGCTTCCGCCAGGATGCCCCCTACAGATCGTGCATCCTCCGTGCCCGCCTGCCCGACAATCGGGACAAGTACGAGAGCGACTACTTCATGATCGATCTGATAGGGTTTATGGTAAGCCCTTCGCTATGCTGGTGCATCCTATAATCCCCTCCTTTGCAGCGCTCCGAGCTGGACACCTTTAAGGTGTTTCAGCTAAAGTCCCCGCAGCAGGACGTGAATCAGGCCAAGTGCCTGAAGGCCATCATATCCAGCATCTTGAACAAAATCAAGGAGGGCATCAAGGAGCATCGCTTCGACCACGAGATGGAGAATCAACGCACACCCTGGGACATCAATCGCCAGCTGTTTCTCGTGGAATTCTTTGCCAAGTTGCCGCAGGAGTTGCGGCTGCTCAAGCAGGAGCTGCGCCACTGCTTTGTGGAGAACCTGGACGCCTCTGTGGCGGATGTGGCGAACGAGTTGCATCGCGTGGTGGACAGGATCACGGCGTTGTCCAACATGACGCGGCAGCAGGATGAGTGGCCCGATCTGCTGCTCTTCCTGAGTGCCGGCGGCAAGGAGGTAGGCGTGTGCCGCCTCAATGCCAAGCACTTCCTCCACCTCCATCGGCGGGAGTTGCAGCAGAACCAGTTCACACAGTGCTGGCGCCTAAAGAGCTTCGCCTTCAAGGCACTCGGCTGCATCCACAGCTGCCCCAACTGCGGCTGCAGCACGGCCATGATCCTCGGCTGCATGGGCATCGTGGTCGAGCGGGAGCGCAAGCAATTCCTCTCCCAGAACATCGGCGACTGGGTCTCCATCGAACCGATGGTCTGGAAGACGCGTGTGGCAAGGACCTTCTTCCGCTGTCACGTGTACATCCACCAGGCCAAAGTGCGACCCAGCGGGGAGAAGAAACACGTCGCCGACTCCCATCTGCGGATTCTGTTCGGGGAGCAGGCCGCCGAAACGGACACCTCCCCTGGCACTCTGTCACCCATCTGGGATGCCGAAATCATCTTCAAGTGCATGAATCTGCCCGGCAGTGTCGACTGGTACGTGCAGAATCCCCCGCTGCTCTCCCTGGAGTTCTACAACAAGGAGAAATCTCTCGCCGATGAGCTCGTGGGCAAGGGCCATCTGATGGCCAGCGTGATCAGTGGAAACCAATTCGCAGACTCTGCCTGGGAGGAGGGTCCCCTGGGCTGGTCCAAGGGTCCCCTCTACAAGCTGCAGCGGCTGAAGCACGTCTCTCCCCCGCCCCTCAAGTGGGTGCCGCTGGCCAGAAAGGGCGCCGTCCAGGCGGAGGTTCTCATGTCGGCCGAGTTCATAGAGTTGCCGGATGGAGTCATCGATGGCAGCAAGGAGCCCGTTCTCACCACTGGCATTCCACAGGCCATTCGACCGAATGTCCTCAACTTTGTGTGAGTATTCCTTGACCGAACGGACTCCAAGTAAGTAATCCTTGTGCAGTTTGGAGGTTGTGTTCGTGGGTCTGCGCAACTACTCCAAGAGCACAATGAGTGGAGCGGGCAAGCGGAAGATCAAGATCATGATGGGTGACCAGGTGCTCACGAGTGGCCCATCGACTGCTCGCATTGGCAACAGCATCAACTTCCTGGTCGCCTATGCCTCAGCCGTTGTGGTGGGTCATCCACTGGAGAGCTTTTCTGGAATTCATATCTAAATATCTTTGCAGAGTCTGCCCGATCAGCAGGAGTACTGGCCAGCCATCATAGCCGCCGATGTGCTTATCTCCGGCTTGACAACAGAATCCGTTCTGGGTGCTGCACTCATACCGAACTCCGGCAGCTTTCTGCAGCGAGGCAAGACGGCCAAATGCGGCACCCAGAGCTTGGCAGCATCCACCACTACCGCCACCACCGCACTGTCAGTGGATGAGGATGACAACACGGGAATAGAGTCCTCAGTGGAAGTAGAGGACACAGAAATGGAGTACAGCGATGAGGAGGAGGATGAGGAGGAGTCCCCAGCCAAGTTGAGTCGCCTTTGGAGGCGACTGTTGTTCGCTTTGGGCCTGCGACCCGCTGCCTACGCCAACAGACTGGCACTGAGGTACGGATCCGAAGACATGGACCACAGCGACCTCATCTCGGAGGGACAGTTCACGTGGTGGACAAAGTTCTACAACTCGATGTACTGGAAGGCGGCAGAGATGACGCACGAGTACAAGCATCGGCTGGTCATCTTTCCCAACGAGCTGGAGAAGCAGCCACAGTTCGGCTACCTGCAGGACTGGGCCGTGCCCGTGCAGATGGTGCACGGAGTGAAGTTCAAGAAGCAGGCACCGCCCAAGGAGGATGCCTACGCCACGCTAAAGATTCAGATCAAGCTGACGCCCTGCCAGTGTGGTGCCAGGGATGAAGGTGGAGGCGGAGACATGATACGTCCCCTGGCAGCTGCCACAAATCCGCGCCATCAGACGCTGCTCCAGTCCCTGGCCGAACCGGTGCGGCTGGCTGTCCGGGTGTATGTGGTGCAGGGTCTGCAGATGCGCCCGCGCGACGTGCACGACGATTCCGACTGCTATGTGAAGCTGCTGCTGGGCGGCAGGACGCTCTCCGATCGGGCAGCGTACATCCCGAACCAGAGCAATCCCATCTTTGGGCGCATCTTCGAGATGGAGGCCACACTGCCCGGCGACAGCATGCTCCTGATGATGGTCTACGATCAGGACAAGTTCCGCGACGATATCATCGGTCAGACGTACATCGATCTGGAGGATCGCTGGCGCAGCAAGCACCGTGCCACGGTGGGCCTCGCACAGGAGTACTCGCGGGCAGGCTACAACCAGTGGCACGACGTCAGCCTACCGTCCGAGATACTCAAGAACCTGTGCCAGCAGCGGGGCATTCAGCCGCCCTACTACTACGGCAATGTGGTCGAAGTGGATGGTCTGCTCTTTGGCGATGAAACAACTATAGCAAGGGGTGCGTGACAACCAAATAGATTGATCTAATCTAGATCTGTATCTTTCTGCCGTTTCAGGGGAGGAGCTGCACGAACGCCTCAGCCTGACAGTGTTGAAAAACATTGAGAAGTTACCCTCCTTTGGCTACAAACTCGTGCCTGAGCACGTGGAGACGCGGTCCCTCTACCGCGATGATTATCCCAATGTCGAGCAGGTGAGAGCAGAACACAAAAAACTTGACTTTAAACCCATTCGAACACTGTTTCCATGCAGGGCAAGCTCCAGCTGTGGCTAGAGCTGTTTGAGGCCAACACATACATTCCATTTCCAGTGGACATCACACCCGTGCCACCCGCTGCGTACGAGATTCGTGTTGTGGTCAAAAATCTGCGAGGCATCCAGGCGGGCGACAGAAATGTTTTTGGCAAACTAATGAGCGACCTCTTCGTGACGGGGTGAGTGGGGAAAATGGGTGGAAAATAGGGGCCATGTAAACGATATGCAATTACCCGATTTTCTTCTGTTTTTGTGTGTGTTTCTACGCTGTTCTGTTTTGTGTTGCAGCTGGTGCCAAGATATAGACAAGCGCCAATCAACCGATATCCATTACCGTTCATTTACCGGCGATGCTGCCTTTAATTGGCGCATGATATTCCCCATGATGTACTCCCCCAATGAGGACATGGTAAGCGGGCAGCATCTTGACCTTGCCTTATTGGTCGCAGGGGCCCAGGGTAAACCAATACCATCTACTAATTAATCCCGCCTGCGCGTGTTTCTGTTTCTATTAAAACCCCCTGCAGATGGTCTTCCGTCGCCGTGGCGGATTGTTCGAGGAGATTGAGATCAAGCGACCGCCTGTTGTCTATCTGCAGATTTGGGACAGAGACATGATAAAACGCAACGACTATTTGGGCTCCCTGGAGCTGAATCTCTCCAACATGCCCATGCCATATGAGACGGAGCGGCAGTGCAGGGCCTATGCCAATCAGCGCCAGCGACTGAATCTCTTCCATCGCAGGTCCATCCAAGGCTGGTTCCCCGTGGAGAGTGCCAAGCCAAAGTCTGGTCTGCCCGTCACCTCAACAAATGTGAGTTGCTGACATTGGGAGTCTCCTGCACCTCTAATCCGATCCATTGCAGGGCAAAATGGAACTGGAAATCGATGTCTGCACATCGGTGCAGGCCTCAAATCAACCCGCTGGCCATGGCCACGATCCACCCATGGCATTGGAGAGGCCCAAGTAAGTGGTATTCCATTCCTAACTATAGCATTCGATATCCGTCCATCTTGCAGTCGCCCAAACACAGCCTTCAATCCGCTGACGCATCCCTTCAAGTCCTTCCAGTACAGTCTGTGGCCCTCCATAAGGAAATATGTGCTGTGGAGTGTTCTCGTCATAATAGTTATCATGGGACTAGTTCTATATATTTTCGAAATCCCAAGCAAACTTATGGCCATTCCCTTACTGTGATTTGTTTTCAGTTTTCAGTTTTAATTTTTCATTTGCATTTTCGTTTTTTTTTCTTGTTTTGCGTTTAAAGTTTAAACTCGTTAAAGTTATCCAATAATAATAAAAATTTCATTGTTGTTTTACGTATTTGCATGCGTCATTTGGAAATTAATTAAATGAAATCGCTAATAGCCGTGTGGGACATCGGTTCAGCGATGCAGGAGGCAGGAGGCAGCGATAAAAGCGAGCGACCGACCGACCCATTCCCTTGGCACTTTAAAGAGCTAATAATAAACTGTGCAACTAATAAGCTGGCAAAGCATAGACACGGATCAGAGAGATGATGATTACGGTTAGCCAATTGGTTAGAAACGAATCCTGATGTCGCTCAGAGCGAAGGCTTTGCAGAGATACTCTCTCGCAACCACCCATGCTGTGGGCAGGCCAATCGATCTACTGAATTGACTAAAAACCCATTTAAGTGTCCAGAATGATTCCAGTTCTGCTGCGCTATTTCATCATGTGGTATTTATTTTTATACGCATGATATCTATATGCGTCTGGGTCTGAGTGTATTGTAACATGTTAATGGCGACATTCGTCCCGAGACGAGACGAGTGACGAAAGGCTGTTATCAGGGTCCGCCCCGAACCAGTCTAAACCGTACAGAAACACTCAACGGACACATTACAGGCACTGGCCCAAAGGCAGCCACGTTTAGTTGGAGACCAGCTATCAAGGCTGTCGGTACGCGCGAATCACTCAGCAGAAAATTGTCAAGCGAAACTAGAACCAAGAACACAGCAAAAACAGAGACACAGAGAGAGAAGAAGAGAGTTACAGTCCCACTCCAAGTCCTAGTTCTGTTCAGCAAATTATTGCCAGTCAAAGGTGCTAATTGAGTTTTGTAATTAAAGTGTCCGTCCATCATAATCAAAGAGAGGGAGAGAGAGAAAGGAGCTGCAGTCGCAGGGAGTCCTTGCCTGGTTGCTGGTTTGTGCCTTGCAGTTGTAGTGCTTCCCCCCAGAGCGGATCGCAAGTGAAACATATGGCAAGCATCGGGGCACTCAGCCTCAAATGCTGCTAAATTCTGAAAGAATATTCTCGGAATATACGAGTACCAGCTGCGGCTGCTGCTGCCACAGACGCGCGTGTTCGGTGTGCTCCGGCCTAGTCTTGGCTGAGATCAAAATCAAGTTTAAGTTCTTCAAATTTAAAGTCGATTGAAGATGTAAAGGGACAGACCACGCAGAATCCCAAACACTGAGATCTCATCTACGCAGGAAAGAGTACGAAGAGTTCCAAAAGAGTGTTCCAAAAGGTAAGTGTAAATGGGGCGATTTATTTACACAATTCCCCGCATGGGTGCGATATTTATCCACGCGACGAGGAACCACTCAGCCTAATCGACGCACTGGCGTTTCGAATTTCGTCAAGTCATCATTCACTCTAACCCTGTGGAAACAATCAGAGCCCCACTGGAATTCCTGGGGGTACAAATTCATTAGTCAGAGTATGCAAGTGCGAAATAGAGGCCCAAATCGCGATGAGATGTCCAGATGGATCGATGGTTATCTCCATAAAGTAATTGGGATTCAACTAGAAATTTCTGCCTGCAGGCTTACAATATTTGCAGTTCGTCGTTGTCCCTCGGTCGAGGCGGTTCCAAAATGAAGCTGGAGCAATTCGAGTAGGTTTGGAAGGAGCCACTCTACTTGGGGCTTGGTTTGGCATTATGCAAATTCGTCTGGGTCGAGTGCCACAAATAAACAGCCCCTTAATTAGACACTGCCATTAAATGGGGCGTTCGGCATGGACTACACACCACACTCCCCCTCACTCGCACTTCCCTGGGGAAGGAGCTAGCTAGAAAAATGACAAACGGCCGTTCGTTGACTCTATCTCTCGGTGGTGCCAGAACAGAGTTACGGACCAACAGATATACTCGTATCCCTTCTGTTTGAGGGGTTTTACTTCACGGTTGGACATAGTTCAGTTGCAGTCACGGTTCGGTTGTAGCACGACAAAGTCCACATCCATAGTACCAGTGCAAACTCCTTTATCTCCCTGTAACACTGTTCCACTCTCCCACTCTCTGTCCTTCTATCGGGAACGTATCATGTGACAGACGGGTTATCTAAATTGGTTTGCTGTTTCCGCTTCTGCTGCAAAACGTTTAGTCCAATCAATATCTAATTATCAAACTGATTGCGGATGAGTGCCGCTGCCCGATTTTTGTTTTTCATTGTGAAATATTGTGACTAATCCCGTCCCATTCGCATTATCATGTACAGTCGCGAGTCGCGGCCCTTTACCATCACAAAAGCAGCAGCAGCAGCAGCAGCAGCCACCGAGCGCCAGTCTAGCGTCCCGGACATGCCCAAGCTCTGGAATGGGCAGTGCTCTGCCATGTCCTCGCCCGATCTAATGGAGGCCCAGCCCGCACTTTTGCCCAAGACGCGAAGCAACAGCAACAGCAGTACCAAAACAACCAAGAATCGCAACAGCAAGGTGAGTCAGTCAGGAATGAGCTAACTGGGGAATACACATTTACCCTAACGTAGAGCGGAGATTTGATGAGATCTAGAATGTTCTTCCGTTTCTTTTTACATCATAACCTTAAATAGTTTGCAGCACTTTAAGTTCATCAAAAGAGATTCGAGAAACGATTGCTGTATGCTTGCATTTCGTTTTAAATTATTAAAGAACGATTTATACCGATCCCAAGATATAAATCCCAGCAAAAACGACACAAAAATGTACTTCTAATATTCTACTTTCATGATTTCCTGCAGTATTGGATATTCTCAATGATAATCGAGCGAAGTTCGGCCGCCAAGCGTGGGCAAATCGACGGCGATGATGCAGACACCCCACTGGAGGCCATTTTGCCGGCCGAACCTGCGGCGGAGCAGGTCTGCTTATTGCGTGACAGCCCCTTCAGGATATTGCGGGTGAGTTAGTTAGTTATCGAGCGATGGATATTAATATTGATACGAATATGGATTGTCGACTTGGTGGCCTCGTGGCCTGGCCAATTCTCCAAAGTGAAAACCCAGTGCAAATTCTCCAGTGACTGGCGAGAGTTGTGATAAATGCATATCGATTCCGCGATTGCAGCTGAAACATATGAATGAGTTCTATAGAAAAGGTCTTCTAGAAAGTTCAATGGCTTCTTGGATTTGCTACCTCTCCATCCCTCATCGCTGCTCATTGCTGATATTAGACATAAGAAAATAAACATCGGCTAGGCAGGACATGCAAAGCAACAAGTTCGCTGGACAAGACAGTCTGGAACAAAATCGACATGCAATCGAAATGGAAGCAGAGCAGAGCAGAGCACAGATTTGCGGTTCAATTCAATGAAACTCACCACGCGCCCTCCGGCAGTGCGTGTTCTCCGCACCCCAAACGCACCCGAAGCTCCCACGCCCCATCCCCCACCACCCCCTAACTGTCGTTGGCCAGGCTCTGGCTGTTGGCTATAAAAGCGAACACTTCTTGGCCCGAGATTTCAGTCTTGTGGCAACTTGGCCGACAGCCTCTCCCTTTTCTCAGTGTGCAAAACGGAAAATTATGTTATCTTGCTTTCAAAATCAGTGGAAAATCAAAGGAAATGTATACAATTGGGTCCGCGTAACCCAATCAAATGGGATTCATAATTGACAAGAACATGAGCAGCCCCAGAGCATATTTTTTAACAGTGATTACAACAAGTATTCCGACAAAAATAGATGAGAACTTACCGAATCAAACATAAGTCAAAGTCCAAAACTGCAATGAAAAATTTTAAAATGATTAATTACATATAAGAAATTCTCGGAAACAACGCAGCAGAAATATTTATTTGAATATCTTTAATTTGAATAGCAAATCAAAACAACAATTAATAAGTGTACACATATCTTCAACAACATAAAATACACATATCAATTGAACAAAGTTCAATGCTCATAAGATTCCTTTGAGATTTGAGAGCCAACAAATATTTGGAATACAAATAACTTACGCCCTTTAACTCGATTTAAAACGAAATTAATAAATGAATACAAAGACAAATCCAGGGAAGAGCAGCGCATGCAAAATTGCTGTGTGGTTACAAATTGTAAAGAAAATGAAAAGTTTAAGGCCAAGGAATATTTAAATACAATATTAACGAGACCTTAAAGAAACATATATAAAAACGGGATTTTGGATTCAATTTCAATTGAACTACAAAAGCTAGAACTATTTCCAGTACTATCAGCCAGCTACAAAAGGAGAGTTAGCCCCATATAGAACGTACAGTGAAGGCGTTTGAGAGGGAGAGCAGCACTCCACAACATTGTGGAGATGAATGCCAGGGGCAATCAGAGTTAATCTGAAAACTACACACAAATGTAATTAGGATTCTCATTCTGCCGCACCAACGCCGACGACAATGGCAACCAGCGAGAAGGAGACCCCGAAGCGGGAGGTGGTCATCAGTCCGCTTCGCTACTTGATCAGCGGCTGTGCCCGCGGGGCGGAGCTCACTGCAATGGCTCCACTCAACCTGCCCAACAAGTGGGCCCGCATACTGCGAATGTCCTCCGCACCAAAGATACAAATCGATGACTTTCTCCAGGTAAAACTGCTCCACGGAAGCACACACACTCGCACATCAAATTAGCTAAATGGAAGCCCCAAAAATTAGATTTACTTTTTAAGTGCATTTTGGTAAAAGTTGCAGAAACCTGACTGAAATTGGGAGACATTTCGCTGGGTTTGGACTTGGGTTCTGCTTGGTGACGGCTGGCTGCTGGCTGGTGCAGTGGCAGTTGCAGTTGCTCTTCTGGGTAATAGTTTTTTCAGCTTAAAGAAAACTTTTCGTGAGAAGGCTTCAATGTTTTGAAGTGGGTTGAAAGTAAAGCAAAACAAAAGACTGATGCAGCAGACGGCACTGAAGACACACTACAAGTGTGACGGAAATGAAAGACAAGCGGAGTCTTTTCTGATTAAAAATCTATTGACTTTTCTTGTTACTGTTCCCTTCTGCCGACATAAGCTGCCACTCCTGTTGGATGTCTTGAAATTGAAAGCCCCACCAGTTGTTGCCTGTTTCCCTGGCTTATCACCTTCAGGTTGTCGCCTTAAACTTTTAGTGAAACTTTTGACAGCGCACACAGCGCTTTGGACTTTAATCCAACTTGTTGGAAAACTGATTAAGCTGAGACACAACCTGTTCCCTCGTTTATTAACAGGCAGCCGAGTCTGGAAACCTGGATGACTTCAAGCGGCTGTTTATGGCGGACAACACGCGCATTTCCCTCAAGGATGGCAAGGGACGGACGGCTGCCCATCAGGCTGCGGCCAGGAATCGTGTCAACATACTACGCTACATTCGGGATCAAAGTGGGGGTGAGTATCGGGTGCTAGGGAAGGGTGCTTTAAACTACCATTAGCTATCATATTACCATCATTATCTCATCATTAAGTGCGCTTTACAGACTTTAATGCGAAGGACAATGCCGGAAATACGCCACTCCACATTGCCGTCGAGTGTGATGCCTACGAAGCCTTGGACTTTCTGTTGTCCATGTAAGCTGGTCGGTCCATGGTCTATTTAACAGTAATCCAAGCAACAGTTCCTCGTCATGTTTACAGACCGGTGGACACTGGAGTGCTCAACGAGAAGAAACAGGCGCCCGTCCACCTGGCCACCGAGCTGAACAAGGTGAAGTCGCTGAGGGTGATGGGCCAGTACCGGAATGTCATCGACATACAGCAGGGCGGAGAGCATGGACGAACGGCGCTACATTTGGCGGCCATCTACGATCACGAGGAATGCGCTCGCATCCTGGTAAGTGGTGTGAGTCCTCGCCCAAGTTGTTCCCCGTAATTATTTTCACTTTTAGATACGCATTTCTCGCATTCATTCATGCATTTTATTTGCATTTTGATAACGAATTGGACCAAACACAATTCGTCATTAATCACTCTGTCATACATCCAATCTAACACTCACACACATACACACATACACACATACATGCATACGCAACATTAATTTATCATAGAAAAACAAATGAAGAAGGTTTGTATCCTCTGATGCCATTTTGTCTTGCCTGCGCACGAAAGTTTGCTAGAGAGTCTCCCCCTAGCTCTCCATCTACCCTGTCCTCTGTGTGTGTGTGCGTGTCTATGCTATGCCTGTGTGTGTAGCCCTAGGATATGCCCTAGTATGGTTTAGTTCTTGCAATTATATAGAATAGTCGCTATATCATATGTGCGTCGTATCTTCCAGATAACTGAGTTCGATGCATGCCCCCGTAAGCCGTGTAACAACGGCTATTATCCCATTCACGAGGCTGCTAAGAACGCCAGCTCCAAGACAATGGAGGTCTTCTTCCAGGCAAGTGTCCCATCAATCCCAAGAATATGTAACCCCTCACCAGAAATGCATGCCCCCCATTCCTGCTTTGATCTTGCACTTTGTGGCTGCTGTTCCCACTTGTCCACTTACTGTAATGTCCCTCCTCCTCTTGTACTTTCTTTTCGTTTCCTTTTCTGCTTTAACTCCCACTGCTGCCCCCCACTTATCCTGTGACCTTTATTGCACTCGCTTTGACTACTTCCACTTTGAGTTTATTTTCATTTTCCCTTCACTTTTTTGATTGAAATTGCGTATACGCTGCGCCGCCATGAGAAAGTATCAAATTTGTAATGTTTTCCGCGTGTCTGTGGAACTCCGAACTGACGAATTCAACTTATTGCTAAACTTCGCTGACATAAGACCACAAATTAAAGGAAAAAAAGGAACACATTAAAAGGGTTTCGGCTGCCAAACAAAAAGTATCGAATGTTGTTAAAGTCCAAGAAGTGTCGGACATTGACTTTCGGCAACAATTTAGTTGGGTCTTTGCACAGACTTCCACTTTAACCACTCAACAATGGATACACTCGAAGTGTTCAATGGATATTTGTTGGTTCTTTGGCAGCAAGAAGCCTTTTTTGGTTTGATAAATGATTTGGAATTTCATATTCCAAGTGTCTAGTAGCTACGATAAAAGTCTCTGCACAACTGCTCCAAAATGCTTCCCCTTTAATTTACTTCAATTAATGTTACTCTCCACCTAATTATGTCCTCTTGCAGTGGGGCGAACAACGCGGCTGTACACGCGAGGAGATGATATCCTTCTACGATTCGGAGGGCAATGTGCCACTGCACTCGGCCGTACATGGTGGCGACATCAAGGCTGTGGAGCTGTGCCTCAAGTCCGGGGCGAAGATATCCACGCAGCAACATGATCTCTCGACACCAGTGCATCTGGCCTGTGCTCAGGTGAGTAGAGATGGTGCAGAGAGCGGAAGGTCCTTGAGCAGTTAACTGACGTGCAGCACATGACAACGAAATCGCTCACACTCATATTTCCCTGGGGAGATATGTATGGTGCTGGCTGGATAGATGGGTAAACAAAGCATTTCTGGACAGTGTGAAAGCATCTCTCAGGAGAGGGTGGGTGTTGGGTGGTTGGCTTTTGCGCGTGTCCTGTCTGGCTTACGTGTTACACGACTGACTTTAATTTGACAAATTCTTATGCAAATTTTGCCCAACTGAACGTGACTTTGGTGCCGGAAAAACAAAGAGTCCCTCGTTGGCTTGTAATACGATTCCATCCGCATTGACTGGGGGGAATTGGGACTGAATGAATCCCCAAAATGCCATCGATTTCCGTTTCTCGTTTAGGGCGCCATTGATATCGTGAAGCTGATGTTCGAGATGCAGCCGATGGAGAAGCGGATCTGCCTGAGCTGCACTGATGTGCAGAAGATGACGCCGCTGCACTGCGCCTCCATGTTCGACCATCCGGATATTGTGTCCTTTTTGGTGAGCGAGGGAGCCGACATCAATGCATTGGACAAGGAGCATCGTTCGCCGCTTTTGCTGGCTGCCTCGCGCAGCGGCTGGAAGACGGGTAAGCCTAAGCTCTGGAGGATTGCCCCTTTCCCTTCGCAGCTAAAGAACAATCCTTTCATACAGTCCATCTCCTGATTCGATTGGGTGCCGGTATTAGCGTCAAGGATGCGGCTGCTCGCAATGTCCTGCACTTTGTCATCATGAACGGTGGCAGGTTGACGGACTTTGCCGAGCAGGTGGCCAATTGCCAGACCAACAACCAGCTGCAGCTGCTGCTCAACGAGAAGGACAGCATGGGCTGCTCGCCGCTCCACTACGCCAGTCGCGATGGGCACATTCGCTCGCTGGAGAATCTCATTCGGCTGGGTGCCTGCATCAATCTCAAGAACAACAACAACGAGAGTCCGCTGCACTTTGCCGCCCGCTACGGCCGCTACAACACCGTGCGCCAGCTGCTCGACTCCGAGAAGGGTTCGTTCATCATCAACGAGAGCGACGGAGCCGGGATGACGCCGCTGCACATTTCCTCGCAGCAGGGGCACACCCGTGTCGTTCAGCTGCTGCTTAATCGCGGGGCACTGCTGCACAGGGATCACACCGGACGCAATCCACTCCAACTGGCAGCCATGTCTGGCTACACCGAGACCATTGAGCTGCTGCACTCGGTGCACTCCCATCTGCTCGATCAGGTGGACAAAGATGGGGTAAGTCTAACGCACACTTTTCTAGCTGCTAATCCAGTCCATTTCCGACAGAACACTGCTCTTCATCTGGCCACCATGGAGAACAAGCCGCATGCCATCTCCGTGCTGATGTCCATGCAGTGCAAGTTGGTGTACAATGTCCTCGACATGAGTGCCATTGACTATGCCATCTACTACAAGTATCCGGAGGCAGCTCTGGCCATGGTCACGCACGAGGAGCGAGCCAATGAGGTGATGGCCCTACGATCCGACAAGCATCCGTGTGTCACCCTGGCGCTGATTGCCTCCATGCCGAAGGTCTTCGAGGCGGTGCAGGACAAGTGCATCAGCAAGGCCAACTGCAAGAAGGACTCGAAGAGCTTCTACGTAAGTTGTTCGTTGGCCAAGTGTGCCGCCGCCCAATCATCTCATTCCATCGATGCTAATTCTCTTTCCTTTTTGAAAATGATTCCATCAAACATGATTATCTATATATATATATATATATCCATGCAGATTAAGTACTCTTTTGCATTCTTGCAATGCCCATTTATGTTTGCCAAGATCGATGAGAAAACCGGAGAGCCGATAATGACAACAAATCCCATACCGTTGCCGGCGTTGAATGTAAGCAGAATGAAGCAGGGATCGAAACAGATCCCAGTTCCCCCCACAGATCCCACGATCTGTGTTGCATGATTCAGTGTTCCGTGTGTTTGAGTTTGTTTTTTGCTCCTATCCTACCACTACGATACGATCCTTGTACGAGAACTGGCGAACCCTTTAATGTGATGTTGGATTGGGGGTATTGGCTGTTGGATTTTGGATTTTGGTGTACTTTTTTGGGTACTGGGGGATGGGGGGTTACTTGATCGCTCATCGCTCATACAAGTCTCCTAGTCTAAATCGAAGCTCTCCACTGACTAATCTACCATCAATTTAGATTAAATATTCATTTTGGCCATACCAAAAGACACCCGAACAGATCGAGGAAAAGCGCAAAGAGTTCAATGATCCCAAGTGGCGTCCCAGCCCCCTGGCCGTGGTGAATGTGAGTTGTCGCAAGTACTCTCCGCTTTATAGTACCCAAAATATAAACCCCAATATACACACATATAGACTGCAACTCTGTGCAACGTGTGGCAATCGTTCCGTTCCAAAAAACTAACCCACTAACCGACTCACTGTACAGTGTACACAATCGTATCTGGTTTTTGTATCTTGTATCCTCGTATGTGTCGTGCATGTGTTGGTTGTCGCTGTACCCCTAGAACTCCTCTCTGCACTCTTTCCTAACACATTTCCATCCCTGTTCCCTGCCAGACCATGGTAACCCATGGACGCGTGGAGCTGCTGGCACATCCACTCAGCCAGAAGTATCTGCAAATGAAGTGGAACTCCTACGGCAAGTACTTTCATCTGGCCAACCTGCTGATCTACTCGATATTCCTGGTCTTTGTCACAATCTACTCGTCCCTGATGATGAACAACATTGAGCTGGAGCCGGGCGTAAACAAGTCCATGAGCCAATACTGCAATTTGGGGTAAGCCATAGAGGATTAATCCACCAACAAACTGATCATCTTGATCCTCTTTGCCAGCTGGGACCAGTTGACACAAAATCTCTCGCAGAATCACTATGCGGCCACGCACTTTCGACAGGACTCGTGTGTGGAGCGCATCAATCGTACCACGGCCATTCTGTTCTGTGCCGGGGTCATTGTGGTCTACATTTTGCTCAATTCGATGCGGGAAATACTGCAGATCTATCAGCAACGCTTACACTACATCCTCGAGACGGTCAACTTGATATCCTGGGTGCTGTACATATCGGCGCTGGTCATGATTGTGCCAGCTTTTCGTGCCGATGGCATCATTACGAGCATTCACTATTCGGCCGCCTCGATTGCTGTGTTTCTGTCCTGGTTCCGGCTGCTGCTGTTCCTGCAGCGCTTCGATCAAGTTGGCATCTATGTGGTCATGTTTCTGGAGATCCTGCAGACGCTCATCAAAGTGCTGATGGTCTTCTCCATACTGATCATTGCATTCGGACTGGCCTTTTACATTTTGCTCTCGAAGGTGGGTGTTCTTGGAGGGTGAGTCGTTTGTGGTATATATTCCCAGAGGTGTTCTCCATTTCAGATTATCGATCCACAGCCGAACCACTTGTCCTTCTCGAACATACCGATGTCTCTGCTGCGCACCTTCTCCATGATGCTGGGCGAACTGGACGTTGTCGGCACCTATGTGAACACCTACTATCGCGATCGACTCAAAGTGCCCATGACCTCGTTCTTGATTCTGAGTAAGATTCATCTCCACATGCTCCTCATGATCTAATCGCTCTTCACTTCATAGGCGTCTTCATGATACTCATGCCCATTCTGTTGATGAATTTGCTTATCGGTTTGGCTGTTGGCGACATCGAGTCGGTGCGTCGCAATGCCCAGCTGAAGCGTCTGGCCATGCAGGTGGTTCTGCACACGGAACTGGAGCGCAAGCTGCCACATGTCTGGCTGCAGCGTGTCGACAAAATGGAGCTCATCGAATACCCCAACGAGGCCAAGTGTAAGGTCGGCTTCTGTGACTTTATCCTACGCAAATGGTTCTCTAATCCCTTCACCGAGGATTGTAAGTAGCCCACAGTGGCCTGCACGAGTAAGAGACTCATTCAATGCTCTTTTCTTGTAGCCTCCATGGACGCCATCTCCTTTGACAACAACGATGATTTTATCAATGCGGAACTCGAGCGGCAGCGTCGCAAGCTGCGGGACATAAGCCGCATGCTGGAGCAGCAGCATCAGCTGATGCGGCTCATAGTCCAGAAGATGGAGATCAAAACGGAGGCAGACGATGTGGACGAGGGCATATCACCGAATGAGCTGCGCTCCGTTGTGGGCTCAACCTCGGCTGGCACCAACCGCTGGAACTCTCCGCGCATAAGGAACAAGCTACGAGCCGCCCTCAGCTTCAACAAGAGCATGTAGATCGAGTCGGGCCACCTATCTACCATTTATCTACTATATCTACACATATATTATTCCCAGTAGCGAAATGTTTCTCTTTCTCTATGTGTGCGTATGTGTCTCTATCTGCCTGTGTGTGTGTGTGTGTGTAATTTACAGTCTCACTTGGGACGAGAATTGTGAGGAAGGATCGTAGCGAAATGCTTGAGATGAGGTGGTAATCCTCAAAGGAAGAACCATTGACGAATTTATAGGCCAGGCAACTAGTTGGAATGTAGCTTCAAAATGCACTTAGTGGACTTTCATAATAGTTGTTTTGATGTCTTTTTGAAATCCATAAAATAAAGTCAATTTATCTAGCAAATTAAGCCGATCGGAGACTTTCTTTTGGGTTGGCTCTTTCACGACTTTCAATGTCAGATAATGTTTAATAAAATATTTCTTATTTATTTACGTGAATGATAATGATTGATGGTAATATATGAGAGAACGTGGAACGATTATAAAATTAATCAAAATATAAACCGTATCAACTAGGGAAAGAATTAAAAATGTATTGGAGAAGTCTCTGATCGGCCGATTTACATGAACGTTATCTTTGTGCGTCCCATGTTTACCTGCCAGACATTCAGCTCCTCGTAGTCGTCGATGCATTTATCCACTTGATCGGGTTTGAAGCCCTTTGTCATACAACGATCCATAATGTCACCAATCCGAACGGACTTGCCCGAACCAGCCAACTCCCGCACGATGGCAAATATGCGATCCGATGTATTTGGCACACTGTAAATAGCAAAGAGCTGTGAGAACTAACTCTTGGTCAAGTAAATGTTAATACTCACTGTCCCTTTTGGTGTTCGTGCGTCTGGTTGAGCGAATCCTTAGACATCTCCAGCAGACGCAGAGCTTCTGCCACGTCATCCTTCTCCACGCGATCGGAGAGACGCAGACGAGCGAGGGCCGTGGAGAGACGCAGAATGCCGAGCAGATTACGGGCCGAGGTGAAGGTCATGTCCTTCTGGTTGCGGGCCTCGCGACGCAGCTCCACATAAGCGCCCACAATGTAGTCGGTGAGCTCGTCCGGAATGGTGGGGTTCTTGCGCTTGCAGAGATTGATGTAGCGCCGCATGAGATGCATGTCCAGAGACTTCACCCTCGACGGTGGCTGACGGCTGTGGCAATGGACATAGGTGATGTGCTTGGCCAGGCGCAGATCGTTGTCGCGGTCCGGCTTGTCCTGGATGAGCCACAGCAGATCGAAACGTGAGAGCAGAGCGGCGGGCAGCTGGATGTTCTGTTCCACTGTGCGACGAGGATTGTAGCGGCCAAAGGCGGGATTGGCAGCGGCCAGAATGGAGACGCGAGCATTCAGCGTGGTCATGATGCCCGCCTTGGCAATGGATATGGTCTGCTGCTCCATAACCTCATGGATGGCTGTACGATCGGTGTCCGCCATCTTGTCGAACTCGTCGATGCAGCAAACGCCCTGATCGGCCAACACCAGGGCACCTCCCTCAAGCATCATCTCGCCAGTGAGGGGATCCTTCATCACGGCAGCCGTCAGACCCACACCCGAGGAGCCACGGCCTGTGGTGTACTGCGAGCGCAGGGCCAGGCGACTAATGTAGCCCAGCAGCTGCGACTTGGCCACGCCAGGATCTCCCATCAGACAGATGTTGATGTTGCCGCGAATCTTCATGCCGTCCGGGCGCTTGTCTACGCCACCCACCAGCAGCAGCAGCAGCGCCTTCTTCACATCCAAGTGGCCGTAGATTTCAGGGGCCAAGCTGGTGGCCAGACGCTCATAGAAATCATCCTGGGCCAGCTCCTCGAGCTCGTCAGGCGTTAGCTCCGCATCCTTGTCCGATATGTCATCATTTTTGTTGATGCAAATGATGCGCTGTGACAGAAATGGCAGAGATTAGATCTAAAAGCAATCGCTATTCCTGAAGTAAACTCACATGTGCCTGCAGATACGTCTCCGAGAGCAGTCCCTGGATCATCTGGGCAAATCCGCTGCGCACCAAAGGCAAAAACACGCCCGAGACAACAACATGATCGCCGGGCTGGGCCATGCGTGTGACCTCGCCGCGACAGAGCACCGTCATGCTGCGCGGAATGTGGCCGACGGGCACCTGGTCGCTGTGCTCCTGCATTTTCAGCTCCTGGAACTTGACAAACTTGGAGCCGCGCGTCTGCAAGTACAGGCGACCGGCGGCCTTGTTCACGCGGCAATCGTCCGACGGACAATCGTGCACGGGCGTGAAGGAGAGCGAACCCACTGGCTGGTAGGTCTCGGAGCCACAGCGATCGCAAGTGTATGTGGCCACGACCATCATGGGCTTCACCTCCGTGCAGCGCGTCACAATGCCACGTACAGTCGTCAGCTTGCCAATGTGCTGCGCCTTTACCTCGCGTATGGAATGCGCCTTTTCCGTGGACAGTGGCTTGAAACCCACCTCGCTGCAAATGGAATACAGTCAGAGGTTTATCTTTGGTTGAGGTTCGCTGTGGGGCCTACTCACAATCGCTTCATCAGCTCGGCGGGGAAGCTGTTGCGTTCGTCGCGCTGCTCCATGGGATTCCGCACGCGGGCGTCCATCATCAAGCGATGCTCAATGTACACATCCAGGGCGTCCTTTGCGTGCACCTCCTGCTGCTTGTAGCTGGGCAGCAGCTCGGCAATCACATCGCTGAAGATGCCCGCGTAGCGTCGACAGTTTTCGATCACCGCCTCGGCCAGACTCTCATTGAACTCGGACAGATCGTCCAGATCAATGGTGATCAGAACTTGCTCTCGATGCGCCAGCTTCACCAGCTGCGAGCCATACACAAACTGCTTCTTGCCGTCATCGTCGCACTTGCAAAACTCCGACAGGAAGGTTTTGATGGATTCTGCGTGGGCATAGACATGGTGTTTGTGATCACTGCAGCCCCAAATCGTATTTCACACTCACCTCTGTCCTGGGCATAGTCACGACGAGCCATTTTTCTGTTGTTTCAATTGATGGTATGATAGTAAACTGTGAAATTGCAGCTGCAGGAATTTGGTTTTTGTAGCGCGTCGCGAAAATAATCCCGCCAAAATGCTGTCAGTGTGACCGCGGACTTGTCGATAAAATATACCGCACCACCCTCAAAAATATACTAAGATATACCAAGTAATTTCAAAATATACCCTGGGATATTTATTCCTCTGCCGCTACTCATTTTTGCGTGTCAAGTATGGGCCCAACAATATCCCACAAATATACCAGAATGTAGCTTGCCCATAATACGATTGACTCATCAGTTTCACACCATATTGACTAAGTTTAAGGACTCCGTTTATTGGTGTGGTTATGAAATAAGCTACAAACAAAAAAGAGTTTCTGCATGACAACTACACATGGATGAATCTATTAGAGCGGCACCTAGGCGGCCAGATAGTGAAATACTTAACTCACCTCGCTGCTGCGCTGCCACATGGTTGGAAATGGTCCGCATAAGTTCAAATTTGTAATATTGCCGTATTAAGAAATCTACCATCTTTTGGATTCCAAAATTATGAATCTAAGTAGGTGTTTACCCTTACGCTAGCGTAAGCAAAGCTTTTGGGGCAGTCAGTCTCACAACTCAGAACAGTTTGGCAAAAGTTGTTTGTCTCTAAAAATTAAATATTGAATTTTAACAAAACATTTTCCTGGACTATTCCACGATGCCTTTAAAGTGCATAATCCAGTGCGTCCACGAGGCAGCACACACTCTAATCTCGACACGTCCTGTGACAACCTTTACACGCGGGGTAAGTTTTCTAGTGGTTTGAAGTGAGACCGGTTCTGATCAAATCTTCATTAGGGATGCCGTGCGCCTATCAAGAACGGTACCATTGCTAATGCAATCTTTTTTGCTGCGATCTTCGCGCCGCTTTACGTCTGCCTGTTGAAGGATGGGTTCCTCTTTTTGGTGGACCTGAGCAAGAAGATGACGCGAGAATAGATGCCATGGATGCCGTTGCGTCCCATCAAATATATAGGGTGGTCAGGCTTGGTCAGATTTGCATTTACACCTGCATACATTCCCACATAAATATGTAACCCAAAACACCGCTCAATACATGTTTGTGTAGCATCGTTATGCCAGTTGTTTGCTTTGCTCGTCAGCTAGGACGCAAGGTTGTCGAAGGGAGAAGGCTTTGAGGGCAGTGGATCACAGCTGATGTAGTCGCCGCTATCGTTGATGGAGGAGGCTGAACGCTCATGTAGTATCAGTGCTGCGTTGTACAGATGATCCTGCGCTGCTTTCCAAGGCCAGAAGTAAGGCCAACACTTGGTTGGTAGCTCGTAACTGGTTGGTTGTGAATTTTAGATATTGACGTTTATTGCGGTTTTAAATGAAATTTACAAAAGTCTGCACTGTACTTTTATCAATTGCAATTACATTCAAAATTACTCATACGAGCGGCATTTCGACTCGATTTGTTATCAATCAACTGTTTTCTTTTTTTTTTGACCTATTGTAGTTTTTTTTTTTGTTACATATTTATTTATTATTTGTTTTTATGCATCTAAAAAGTAGTACATTTAATTATTTTTTTTGTGCAATTTTGTTTGTTTTTCTTTTTGTTTGTGTGTTTTTTTTGTTTGTTTTGTTTTGCATTGGTTATCTTTCGAATAGATTTACAACGACAATGATGTGGCTGCTGGTTTGCTGTTTGCTGTTTTGCGGCTTTTGCGGTATACATAAGTTACAATTTAATATGTTGCGTTTACGTTTAACTTAAATATTATTAATCACATGCAATAGTTAAATAATAATGATACAAATAATAATTATACATAGTACCAAACGCGCACGCTCACACAACGGCAACCCATAAAACACACTGCACACTGATTGTATGTGATTCGGGTTGGATGGTTTAATGGTGGTTGCCTTTTGTTTTGTTAATTTGCTACTAACTAAATTGTTTGTTGTTTCTCTCTGCTCAACTCTGTTTTGTTTGCTTTTTACACATTACAGGCTAAATCGTTACAGTTTACGCACTAGCATTATATTACGATTTAATTAGTTCATTCATGTATATGTTTCTTATTACAATCGTACTCGTACTCGTATCAATGCATATTTCATATTCATTTTTGTATACTATATAATATATTCTCGTAGATTTATTATTATTATATTATATATTTTTATTTTTTAGAGTGTCGCCCAGCGCTTTGCAACACTGTCTAAAGTATTCGTTAGATTGCAACAATAGTTTTTCGTTATTTCGTGTTTTTTTTTCGATTTTAATGCGAATTGCGTTTGCTGTGCTATTTTTCATTTGAAATTGCGATTTGTGCGCTGTACTCAGACCCAAAACTTAAAGTTACAAAACGATCCATCCACACATAACTTTCGTAAACTCTAATTAGCTGAATGCATTTCCAATGACATTTCCTTCTCTAATTTAAATAATGCTACATATAATATACGTACATATCAATCGATTCTCGGCTTCTTTTTCTTTTTGTTTTTTTATTTTCTTGCGTATAAAGCTGTAAGTCTTCTAGTTTTTCCCGTAAAGTGCTTTTTTTACTCAACTAAATTCCATCTGTATGCATTATTTTTTCTCAAATGTTTCTTTGTTCAGTTCAAAATGTGCGTGTGTGTGTAGACGACAACAATTATAATTTTATATGAATTTAACAGATTTATATTTATGTTTTACTCTACATATTCCGTATTTAATAATATTTTGTGAACTTTCTTTATCTTTTCTTCGAATGCTCTCTGTGTGCTTTTCTCTTTTCGCAATTTCAACTTCAAGAAGGAACAACATGTACTTTGAACATTGAGCTTTGCTGTACTCTACGCTATAAATAGTATATCTGTATATTTATGCACGTGTGTTTGTAGTAGTATTAACATTTATCTGAACAAACTGCACACACACTCTATCTATTCGTATGCCTATTCTGCTTGGGTTTTGAGTTTGAGTTTTGAGCCTATTTTATTTATCTTTTAAATTTGGGGATTTCGTTCCTTTCTTTTCTTTTCTTGGTTTGGCAGACACAGACACACATTTCCAACACCCTTTTTTATGGCACATAAGTCTTGTTGGAGAGTTGTATGCTGCTGCATGGGGAAATTCGTTTTTGTGGAAAATGGAAAAGCTAGAAGGGGCGCTCTGCTCCGAAATTCCTTCCCTTTTTTTGTTTTTCTTTTTGTTTCGTTAGTTGAGTGCAGGGTGGCGGTTGGGGGCTTACGGGGCTAATAAATTACGTTTTGTAACAACTTAAGAATTACACAAATAATAATAATAATAATAATAATGATAATAGTTATTAATTAATGATTTTAATCGATTCTCTCGCGTGCATTTTCCGCCATTAATCGGTTGCTGCTGTTGCTGCTCTTGCTGTTCGGGGATTTATTTATCCCTTATCCCTTATCCCTTGACGCTGCCTTAACTACAACTCCTGTAGAGTATTGTGACTAGAGTGAGGAGCAGGCACGTCGCAGTGGCTGCCAACGGATTGGACGCGCCGCCGCTCTGGTTATTTTCGCGCTGCTCAGTCTCGGTTATGGTCGGTGGGCCAGCGCGATCGTCAATGGGTGTGGCACCTGCAATCATCAAGAACATAAATAAATGGCACACAAAATGTCTCTGCATGTGGCACTTACCATCGCCAGAACCATCGCCGGAGCCGTGAATGCCACCGCCATATTCCTCATCATCGTCGCTGATTTGGCCACCGCCGCCTCCCGAGCCCTCGCGGCCCATATCGCTTTGGATATCATGCGACTGTATGCTCGAGGAGGGTGCCTGACAAATACAAGTTTAACTTTAGTGCATATTGTTATAGGTTGGGCTTTCGATTTCGTTTCGTACCGCTGCTCCAATGCTCTTGCGTATCTTGATGAGCTTATCCACCAGTTCGTTCAGTTTGCTGACCTGCGTCTGGGTCTTCCAGGGCACCTCGGGATTGTAGCGCTGCCTGTCCATACCAGTGTCGATCAGCAGCTGCGTGTAGTCACCAATGCGATCGCCTGTCCAGCAGTGACGATCATCGGTGGTGTACTCCGCATCACAGAAGCTATAAAAAGAAGGTAAAATTCAAGATATTAGTGGGCTGAGGGATATGTTTAGGTTGTTACTTACTTGTCCACAATGTTCGTGTAGAACTCCTTGGTCTTTTCGATGGTGGAGAGGAAGCGCACCATGTCCGGATCCGGTGGCGTGGCCCACTTGACGCTGTTCTTGTGCTGCTGCAGTCGCGTCTCCGACTCGTCGGTCAGCGAGGGCGACAGATTGGGCGTGCCGCATGTCTTCTTAACCTGAAAATGGAATGGGCAGGGAAGTGGTAGTTGCAGTTTAAGTTTGGGTTCTTTTGTGTGTTAATCGCTGCCGCTCATGCAACGTTGCACGTGTGTGGCCCCCCGTTTCGTCCGTCCCTCATCATTAAGCACTCGGAGCGTGCGCTGCCCTGCATGTAAATTGCAGCTGGACAGGGGGATGCCATGCCCCCTCATGAATGCAATCTAATTTAGCATTTTAAATGCACTTCAACATGGCAATTATGCGACAGAGGAGGAGCCACAGAGGCAAGCAGATAACAAGCGATAAAACAGAGGATGGAGGGAGGGACAAAGGATGGGATACGACTGCACTTTAATTGAATGTCATGTGCACATTTTACAAGCACTCGAAATGCCGCAAATACTCCTCGTTTGGGTACTTTTTTTGTGTGTGTTTGGGAGGCTGCATTCAACATCAGAGACCGCTCTTGAAGGCCGGAACTGAATGCAGCGGGCATTTATTCATTAAATTCATTTAAAATGTTCATAAATTAAAGAGCAATTAAATCATTAAGCGAACGTGTGTCCTTGTGTCTCATCGATCGCATCAGGAAATGAAACAGGGGAAACCCAACCGAAAAAAAAGAGTTCCAGAAATATCTCCTGGGTATGGGAGTGTATTTTCAATCCCCTTTACTAACCTTCTGCTCCAATTCCGGACCATTGCCCATGGCATGCATGATGGCATCGGAGATTTTGGTGCTCAGCTTCATGATGGTGTTGATGATGCCGCTGTCGGTCACGATGTGTGTGGTGACCAGATTGTTCAGAGCCTCCACGACGCTCGACCAGGGACCGTCCAGCAGACCAGCGTATTCCGCGGAGCAGCCGCTAAGAGGGGAAACAGGAGTAGGCACAAAGGTTAGATTTTTGACTCTCGATGAGCTCTGCTCTCCTGCTGGCACTTACCGCATCACGTTCATGCAGTAGCCATTGCAAATCTGCGGCTGTCCGCGTGTCTGGTGACCGTTGCAATTCGGGCAGTAGTGCATCTTGAGGAGATGCATCTTGCACGTGTCCGTCAGCTGCTGGCCGTAGAGGGCATCCGCCTCGCTCAACACCTCGGCGCTCTGGAGCAGGGCATTCATAAACACGTTCGACATGTGTACGCTGTGGACGAGGCTGCTCTGGATCTCTCTGGGTATGCCCCCAAAGGGCTGCAGCTCGTCAAAATTGTGCTTTAAACAGTTGATGTAGTCCTCGTGCAGTTCCCCGTAATTGTTCTTTGCAAGATGCACCGCCTGGTGGTAGGCCACGGGAAAGAGTTGCACAAAGAACTTGTGCACGGCATCCTCCAGGCCACTACGTAGGCTGCCAATGCTGGCCTTGCTGCCCATCTGGCCATTGCTGTTCGTATAGTTTGAGATGTAATTCAGGTGGCTGCACAAGAAGACGCAAATACAGAGTTTAGCTATGCGGGAGATGCAGGATTTGTGTTTGGGAATACTTACTTCATGATTTCTGTGTACAACTGGCGTATCATCATCCCCGACAGCGGCACCATTCGTATGTAGACCTTCGAGAAGACCGTCAGTGTCTTGTTCTCCGATTGTTGGGCCAACTCCAGGACGTGACCTGAAGCGAAACGGGGGGGAAAGTATCCATAAAAATATGACCAAAACTTTATAGTCGCAGTTCCCCATCTTCTATTGTTATTTCTATTGTTATTCCAAGTGCAATTTAATCACTATTCCTCTCTGGGCAATTCCCAGCAGCAGCAGCAGCAGCAGCAGCGCAGCAACCGAGAAACTTCCACATTTAATGGCCAGGCTGGGGATTTTAGGCTCCCAGTTGGTTAGCAATTTCCTTCCATAGCTCCATCCTCTTCCAGCTCTCTGTGTGTTTTTGTTAGCTTTTAGTTAATGAAATCAAATTTAATGCTTTTCTATGGGTCTCTCTAGCTTTGGCCCACTGGGGAATTGTTTTCATAAAAGTTGTTCTTAATTGCCGTCAATCTTTAGCCCACTATATCTCCATCAATCTGTCAATCAATTGGGTAACAAAATTCTCTTAATATGCAAATGCTAATCGCAAAGAAAAAAAAAGCAAACCCCTACATAATGTGACACACAATCCTGATATCTGTCAAGGTGTCAGCAACACTTGTGCTTTGGATACACAAACGGGCATCGATAGATACAGCAGATACAGATACAGCACTCCTCTCTGGCAGTCAGGCAGGCAGTGTTGCAGTCAGGCAGTCAGCCTGTCATTATCGCCAGATTACAAATGGTCAAAAAGCGGTTGGATCGCTGTTGGACAGAGATACCATTTGAAAGAAGCAAAAAAAAAAAAAATGTCAAATTGCCGTGTGATTTCTCACACACACACACACACACACCCCTCTTCAACACCGCCCCTTTGGCCACTAAATTGCAATACCCTCTTCCCTGTCACGGGGTGGGGCGGGTGTTCAACGTTTTCAAACGAAAGTGTCAATCTTTTTGTTAATTGGCAACAAAAGAACGAAACCCCAAACCAAACAGAAACAAAAACAAAAACAAAAAGAAAAACAACATTTTGACATTCACAAAAGTGTTTTCTGTAGTTCTTTTGTGTAGTTTTTTTTTCTGTTTAGCGGCTCATTTTGATTTTGATGTCGAGGCGTTTCCGTTCTCAGAGTTTGAATATTTCTTCTTCTTTTGCGTTTTTTTTCTGGGCTTGGCTCTCTCGCTGCTGTCAGACGCGAGGTCGCGGCTGTGGGTCTCCTTTTCTGTTTCTGCATTTGGGGTTCGACTTCGGGTTCGGGTTTTTATCGGCCAATAGCCTTTGATGCGTCATCTGCTGGAGGGAGCAGAGCATGCGGCAGAGTAACCCTTTCTAATTAGCAAAATTTGCGATTTTGTTGTGGAGTAAACAAAGATCTATCTAGGGTAGGAGAGTCTCTCCATTCTCTGAACAGGAGGAGTGGTTGGACTCCACACCATCTGGCGGAGCTGTGCTAATCATTTATCAATTGCTGACAATTGCTGGTGCTGTCCCCAGGATGCGATAAACACACACACACACGCACATGACAATCAATTGATTTAACGCGCCCGAGATACAAAATGACAATAATAATAACGATTATAGCCACACCACAAAACACCACAAAACACCACAAAACACCACAAACGTCACAAAACAGAAAGCGACGGTGAATATAGAGGACATCACGGGAACGGCGGAGCTTTTGGGGGGGTGCCAGCCACTCACACATCCTGTCGCTAATCTCATTGACGTGGCACAGCCGCCACGCAGCCATCGCATCGAAGCTGGCGGAAACATTTAATTATTGACACCAGTAACCCCCTCCATCACCCATTCCTCTGCCAATCCCTTCCCCATTCGAATCGACCACCGAACGTGTGGATGCGCGGATATGCATTCTCACACGATGGATGGATGATTGGCCCATTAAATCAGCGGAGAAGCACACAGGAACAAAGTGAACCATTAAGTACAGTCTCCGAGAGGCAGAGAGGGGAATCAATTGACGCGCTGCAAAGGGGTACAGCTGACTAGATGTAGATGAAAGCCCGTCCCTTGTCATAACTTCAGAAAGGAAGTAAAGATTGAAATTGTTCCTCCATCAATTAAACCATTGAAATGCCTCTAAAAAATATCATTAATTGAATGAAAATTAAATATAATTAACAGTGGAACATCCTTATGGGCAAATAGCCTTTGAATGGAATTTCTGTGAAATTATAAATAGGAAGTACAGCTCCAATTGTCCATCAATTACAAGATTGACATGCCTCAAATTACACTTTCTGATTGAAATTTTATTGAATTCAACAGCAAAACATACACAAAACCAACTGCAACTTGCAATACCTTGAAATTAATGGAATTTGGAATGTAATTTCTGGGAAATTTCCCTCAGGATAAGAATTACAACTGCAATTGTCTAGCAACTACATGATGGGAATGCCCGAAAATCTATTTTATTGACTGAAACTAGAACTTCCCCCACTAAAACTCCATCAAATAATAAATAACGAAAATAAAACAATAGAAAGACTGTCAACATGTATACAAATTACAATTAAAGCCAGAAATATGTTGCTTTATTTAAATAATATATCAAAATTAGACTCAAAGTCAAAGACTCTGCAGCTCGAAATAGTTTTCAATTGACCAAAGATTCTACAATTCAAATAATTGTCGTTGAAGCTTGTATCTGAAAGGCATTCCATCTTCGGAGATGACAGATGAGAATATTGAGTGTTAGTGTTAGTTAGTGTTCTTGCCGCCTCCTTTGTCCTGATGCCTAATTACAATTTTAATGAACACTCCACAGAAGGGGTGGGTGTGGGCGGATAGGGGCATATGTCAATTGAATTTAGCTGATGTGGCAAGAGTATGCTCAAACGATACGAGTTTGAGTATTGTGCAGCTGCTTTTGTTGGCTTAATATGCTCAATTAAGTTGGGGTTTTTGGCCCTCTTACACACACTCATACACAGACACACATATAACCCAAGGCATGGCTCACTTTATAGATAGTTTGGGTTACATTTGTATCTCTGTATCTCATAAATTGTTAACTCGGCTCTTCACCTGCGGGCACACAGCCACAGGAGCCAAATGGCCACAGACTTTGTGTGCAATTTGCTGGATATTTCTCTGTCTCCCTCTCTGTGTGTTGCAGTGTTTGGTTTTGCCACTAATTGCAATTTCAGTGCAACTTCATGACCTTCTTTATCTGGCCATAGATATGTACATCGTATCTTGCATCTATTTTGCTTACTTTCTGACATTCTCTGTCAATTAAATTTCGGATAGAATGTTTCATTGTTTTGCCGAGCGGACTTTAATGTGAAATCAAAGCAAATGGAAACACGAACATTTCATTAAGCCTGTGGGCTGTTTTATTTTTAAAGTTCAAAGTTGACTTTACTTCGTCACACATGGAGGAGGGTCCCTCTCAACAGACAATGAAATTGAATTAGACAACGTTGGTTGACCGGCTCCCTATCTTTCTGGCTTGCCCCGAAAAATCAGCAATGTGTGGCAAATGTAGTTACCAGAGATACAGATACAGAAGGACACAGAGGGAGAGAGAGAGAGAGAGGGAGTAAGCTGGAATCCATGTCCAATTGCGAGTTGCTAAGCGACTCCCCAGGCAGAAGCCAGAAGTTTGCAGCAATTCCTAGAGCAAATATCGGGCTTCTTCATTGCTTCATTAGAAGGAGCGGCGGCGTGTGGAGCGAGAGATTAGCATGCCATGCATTCCCATTTCCCATTCTCTGTTACCGCCTGGCTTCGACCGGTTTAAGGGGCCCCGTGGCCAAGCCCCAAAAGCAAATGTGGGAGGCGGCTCTGGTTGAGCCTGAAGGCAGTGGCAGATGGGGCACAGCTCTCTCTCTCTCTCTCTCTCTATCTCTCTGTCGCTCTTTGGTGTGTGGCAGGCAATGTTGTTGTTTCCCACGCCATGGCAAACATGCAACACACACACATACGACGAGGCACAGCCCACAGGTTTAGTTTTTATTTTTGCCCGTTTCCTTTTTTTGCATCAATATTTCGTATTTCTTTTGCCACTCTGCCATGCCCCTGGGGGCACGAGTATTTGTTGCCTGCGTTCCGTTCCTGTGCGAATATTACAATTTTAGTATCTGCCGCATTTTTTATTTGCATTTTATATGCATGTATTTCTTCGGCTCTAACCATCCCGTCCGTCCATCCAGTAGAGTCAGTGTCGGTGGTTCTGGCTTGAGTCTCGGTTCTTGCCTCTGCTTGGGTCTCTCTCACTATCCATACCCCCCGGCCCCTCTGCTCTGGACTTTGCTCTGTGCTCTGGTATCCATCGTGGTGCCGCCTTATGAATGCCAAAGCAACTTTGTTAGTGCTCTTCATTTCTTTCTCTCTGCTCTCTGCAGGTTTTGTTTTTTCCCTGTCTGTCAGCTTAGCTTTTTAGCCGCGTTTAGGTTTCGTTTTGAACCTGCCCCCTGCCCTCTGCCTGCTGCCTTGCAGTCGTCTGTCCGTCTGGCGGGTTGAAGCAGCTCTCTTCTTGTATGTTCTTCTGCTGTGACCGGCTGCTGGCAATGTCTCAGGGTCTCAGTCTCAAGGAAGTGGCCTTCTCAGTCGCACGGGCTAACAGTGGTTGTTGGTCATCAAATTTGATGAAATTAAAATGATATTTCAGGGCTCTAAAAGATCATCTCTACTGCAACAAAGGGATGACAATTATGCTGATTTTTTTGGAATTTTGCTACCATTTTGCTGTTTCTTCAGCTGAAAAATTAGCATTTGAAAGGCAACTTCCAGATTCGGAATACTCAAATATCCGTATCCGTATCCGCGCACCACTGTGCCCGTTCTGGCCCGCTCCGGTCTGGCCAGCTTCAGTGGTTAAGTGCATGTATTGTAACTAGCTATATGCAGGCGTGCCAAGTCGACACGCCCCTCCACAGCCCACAGCCTACAGGCATATCCCCAACAATCCATCCAGCAATTCAGCCATCCGGCCATCGGGCCATCATACACCGCCAGCGAGAGGACCGGTGGGAGCTCCACTCCAACAGCTGCGTGAGGGATGGCAAGCAGCAGCTCTTCTTACCCAGCGAAAAGGGGCCTGGCCATGGTGCCTCTCTACACAATGTCAAAGTAATTGGATGACTTTTCATTGTTGGAGATGTAGCTGTAGCTGTGCCTCAAGTGTAGGTAGATCTGTAGCTGTAGCTGGAACATGAAGTGGAGCTGTAGCCGTAGCTGAAGCTTTAGCTGAAGTGCAGGCCACCGCTTGATTTTTTTAATTTTTGCTGCTCCTTCTAACATATTGAAATGCTTCAAAGCATATGCATCAATTGGTTGCTACACAGAAAGTTATTTGATCTGCCTTATGGCAAATTTTCTCTGTCTCTGCCGTGCCCTCTCCTGAAGCTTTTGCCTCTCATGTTCGCCTTCCGTTTTTGGTGGCGCGTTAATTATAAGCACGAGCTTTCAGCGTTTAATTTGCCAAGCAACTAATTATAATAATTATAGAGATACACAAATGTGTACATATAAAAGCACATGTGGCACAGCCACAGCGAAAACGTAGCAGACAAAATGACTCCACTTTTGCCTATGGCTTTTTTTCTTTCTTGTCTAGATTTTATTTTGCTAATTATAAAAACGAGTTGAAGACATGAAGAAACGGGGGCTCCATTAGCTTTAAATTCTGCAAATAATTAACATTATGCCAGAGATGACAACTGGTTTCTGGATGCTTTCCTAGAGACCTGAAGCTGGTAAGCTCATATCAGAGATTGACTCATAGACTAGAAAAAGACTTAACAGCCAAAAATAAAAATCTCCACAGTGGAAAGCTACAAATAATCTCATATAAAATCTCTGCTCAATCACATTTAACACACATTTCGTTACGGAAAAAGCACATTTCAATAACTTTTCGAAAAAATCCCAAGCTTACTTTCCACTGTGGCAACAACAATTGCAATGCGCTGTGGCACTTGCAAACAGCAACCTTCCACTTGGCGTTGCACTCTCCCTCTCTCTCTCTCTGTCTGTGTGTGACAAGACAAGACAAACAAAAAAAGCCGGCTAACAAGCGATGCCGGCCAAAAAGCCACTTTAGCCGTAAAGACAAGAAGGCAGGCAGCAGCAGCCAGAGCACAAGATATGGCCAAAAACAGACTTAAGCCCTGGCCCTGAAGTGTGGCAGAAAGAGAGGGAGTGGCTTGGCGTGGCGTGGCGTGGCGTGTGCACCAGCAGGAAAGTTGCAACTTGCAACTTATGAAACTGCACGCATTGCTGTTGCCGTTGGCTGTTGCTGTTTCAGTTGGCTGTTGTTGCAGCTGCCACACAAATAAAGAAATAATTTCGGCCATTCTAGAGAGGAGTGTGTTTCGGATTTTCAACAGATGTTTGCCATTGCAGGCAAGGTTAGCATTTTCTATGCCAAAATATGGAATATATATATCGTTGGGGATATTGCCAGAAACACATATATCTGTGTCTTTTACTTTGGGAAATTTGTTATACATTCAGAGTCTCCACTGCCTGGGTTAGGGTATCCAAAACTTCGATACCTAAAGCTCCTATGTTTCTTTCTGCTATTTGTTTTTATTGCCTTTGAGAGGGCCCCCAAAAAGTTGTGCCGTAAGTCAGCATTTGGAAGCATTTTATGCAGGCGCACGCCCATGACCAGGTGCCAGGGAAACGCATTAAGCGCGTGAGCAACGCCACCAAAGACGACAGCGACAATGCCGGATGATGATGATGGTGGTGATGGTGATGGTGATGGCGATGGCGATGACAGGAACGTGAACATGGGGGCTGTAGAAGCGGTAAGTGCAACGTTGCTGCAATGCGTTGGAGGAGCCAGAGCCTCTGCTGTTGCTTGGAAATTTGAGATTGGGGGCTACCCATATAATTCGTAAGCTCCGAAACGTGTTTAAACACGCAAATACTTGCTTAAAAATAATAATACGCCAAAAACACAAGAGGAACAAACAAAAGACGAAGGAGGAGGCATGCAATCCGGCAAACAATGGGCACGCGGAAACGGAAGGAGAGAAAGAGAGAACCAGAAGTGAAGGAGAGATGCAAGAGCAAAAGGGCTACAGGCAGGAAGCCCCGGGACTTGTATGGCATATGCCACACACACACACACACACACACACACACACACAACAAACCCATTGCCACTCCTGTTGTAATGTTAATGCCAGACAATAGAAAAATGCATTTATTTGTTGGGCAAAACTATAATATTTTACGAGTGGCAAAAGCATAGCGGAATTGCACCAAAGAAAATGCATAAATGTTTATAGGTGCACCATTTTTGTGGGTTCCACCTCTGTGAATATCACGCATACGCACGGTTTCTGCCTGCCACAATCTTTGGCCGAGACGGCGTCGGCGGCAAGTAAATCAATGTTTATGGCCACTCTGCTGCTGCCGCTGCTGCTGCAACTAAGGAGACGCGCATGGCAGTCCATAAACTGAGCGATAAGCAAAATAAAAAGCTAAAATGCATGGAAAAAGTTGTTCCTCTTATCACAGCAGACAAACACACATAGCCTATCATTATTCAAGTCAGAACTCAACCTCAACATCCTCTACAGTATGCTATCGTTATTAAATTGCTTAATAAATCTTTAAAGAAACACTCACTGCACACAAACGTCATTCATTCAAACCATTCATTCATTCATTCATTCATCAAACGAGCACTGACTTTTAGCTTGGAATTGCCCTACCAATTTGGTTGATCAATAATTGTTCGTGTTTATTACTCAAATGTTAAATGACTTAGCTGATTGCATTTTAATTTACAATTTTTTGCATTTTTATATTGAAACGTGGGATTTTTTTTCGCTTTGACATCACCTCCCTCCCCTTGACAAAGCAAAAGCAATTGAGGAATGCAAATTGAATGCTAAACAGATAAAGTGTTGTGAAATACCCTGTAAGTGGTTTAGCTTATAAGTGCGGTATTGATTAAGATATCAGCTTAAGTTTTCTTTTAGTTAAAAAAGGATAAATATGTAAAAATACGGGACCACAGAAGTAGAGACAAATAGTAGCGACCAGTAGCGACCGACTCTGGCCAAAAACCCAAAGCTTAAACAACGATAAGAGATCGCTTTTTGTTGCTGCTTATGGCAGCGCCCGAACACTCGGCAGCAGTCAGCAGTACTCGAAATATTGCAAGGCAAATGACCGCCGACAATAAATGAATCAAATTATTGTTGTGGGCACCTCTGAAACCCATATACCCACTCATAGTACCCTTCAGAATAATCTTACTTGCTGCACACTCATATCCGTACATGCAGCAGCACCTCGTTTGGTGTTGACTCAAACTTTGATGAGCCAACCCATTCCCGATCCCCAAGGCGAATCCAAATGAATCAATGGGATGGCATAAATTAAGCAGATGACAACACCAAACCACAAAAATACACACAAAATGCAAACAAAATTCAACAACAAATTTGTATTTAGCGGAAATTCAAGTACATATGTACATCAAGCATGTGAATGACTGTACATACGGACGAGGGAGGCGTGTTTAAAGTCTTTTTCTGAATGCGCGAGCCCAGTTCCGAGAATTACAGAGAGACCCAGCGACCGAGAGCACTGCGAGAGCCAGAACCCCGCGAGAAGAACAACAATGAAAGCACTGAAACGGCGAAACGGAGAAACAGCACCCGCCCGAACACCCTTCTGGAGGCAGGGGCACGCCTTAAAGTGAAGCGAGATTTACAGCATGTACGACAACAATTTGCAGGCATTGTGTGCGAAACTGGGGGAAAGCCAGAAGGAGGGGTACTGCTGCTGCTGCGGCTGCGGCTGCCCCAAAACGTGACCCAGACAAAGTTTTGCACAAACAAAAAAATATAAAAAAGGGACAACGACAGCAACATTATTTAATGCCTTTTTAATTAGATGCAGTACCCGAGAGTCCGAGACCGAGTCGCGTTTGTTGCATTCCCAAACAGCCAGAAGTCTGCTTATGAATTATCTATGTGCAAATATGTACTCTTGCCCCTTATATACGGTCGTATATCTCGTATATCTGTCAGCATTATGCAGTCGCTTTGATCTGCATACAAATTCAAATTACAAATCAATTTCACATTTCGCTTTTTCACATTTCGAAGCTTAATTTTGGTTTAACTTCCACTTTTTCGCAAGGCTTTCAAGGCATCAACTTTTTATCATCATAACCAGAGAAGCCTCCGAACGGAGGACACATTTGCATATGATAAATTATTTATTGCCACGAAAATATACACTCGTTCGGTCTATCGCTTGCACAAGGGCAAACAAACAAAAAAAAACAGTAGAAAACTGAAAAGTTTCCAGACTTTTCAGCGAATGATTTGCATAGAAAGGAAGGACAGGACGAGGAGCCTCCCTGCTTTACCCTCTCTGAAATGGTTGGGCTGTTGAAATTTCATACTCACTCTGGAATTGGTTGGCATTATCCGCTAGGATCCCACGCAGGCTGCTCGTATGATGGTGCAGCAGCTGCTCAAACATTCCCGATGCCTTCTGACGTAGCTCCATCTCTGTGGCATTGCTGCAGCAGCTTCCACCACAAATTGCGCCTGTGAAACAAAATGAAACATAAATTAGAAGGATACGAATCATGGCTTGTAGTTAATTAAGTATAATTATTTCTAAAATTCTGCAATTAATTGTAGAAGATTTTAGATGCTGAAAAGATACTCATTTCTGCTGTTGGCGCTCCTAAAACTCCTTGACTTCCATCCACTTTAATCTCCCATCTCAGCTACCCACGTTCCATCCACACACACGCACACACACATCATCTTCTTAGGACTATTTCATCATTAGCTGCGCCTCGTATCATTTTCAAATTATCGCACAAATCAAACATTTGCTTCCCAGGTCTCTGCCTCTCAACGATTATTGTATCTCTATCTTTTTGTGTGTGGGCTGTATATTTCTCTCTCGCGTAATTGTTTATAGCTTCAAGTTTTTGGTAGCAGTGGGCGTGTTGGCCAATAACAGCGGCAAAACCACAACAAATGCCACCCACGCTGCGGCGTGAGTTTTAGCCATTTATCTAAATAAATAAATACTAGAGAAATATGACTTGTTGTTTCGCTTAGAGATGTTTCATTTTGTTAATAACTTTTAAATTGCTTCAAATTGCAAATGCTGGCAAATCGAGAAACCGTTTTTGGTCATAAAATTCACAGCATGCCACAAAGTGGCTGCAGCGATGATTGTTTTTGCCGCAGAGAGCGAGCGGCGCATGCCACACTTTGTGGCCTGCTGCTGCTGGTGCAGCGGCTGTTGCTGCTAATGACAACGGATTGTTGCAGCTAAAACGATTTACAACACACTAATCGTTGTGCCCTAGAAAATATCTCTCTAATGAAAAGAGCGGCAGCGAAAGAGTCGAAGAAAGAGCCACAGAAATGGAGGCAAGTGGTGCCACAAACTGGGGCAATATATACACTTGTAAATAGTCGTAAATAAATCAACAAAAGTCCCGCTGATTGCCAAGGCTTACAAGCCAGATGCTTTAGAAATTGAAAAGCAAATTGTTTTATTTTATCCTTTTTGCAGCAAATGAAATACAATCCCCAATCTCAAGGACATGTGTTAATCACAGAGATACTAATGGCATATCCCTCATTCCCTTCCCTTCCCACCCCTCTCAACTGTCGTGTGGGCTTTCCCAAAAGATACAAATTGTGTGACAAGCTTTTTATGACAAGCTGCAACATCGCGGAGCAAGTCGGAGAGCAGCAAAAGCGACTTTTATGGTCGGTTGTCAGGCTGTTTCTCTGCCTTTTTATAGTTTATAATTTAAATTAATGGCCTTTACATGATGTTTATGTGAACGCCGCCGCAGCAGCACCTAACTGCTAGAGAGCCGCAGACGGCACAGATCGACAGTTTTACAGTCACATATGCAAATGTACATATCGGAGTGCCCCGATTCGGTGGCCATATGGTTTGCTGTTTGTTATGCTGTCGTAAAATTAGCAAATTAAATGAATTGGAATGGGGAATGTGAACTGTGGAATGGGCACAAAAGGCAGACGTCATCGCTCTCTGATAAATTCGTACTGTGGAGTGCAGTCACTGGCTATTTTTGTGCTGAAAAAAATAGCTGCACACGAGAGACAACCGCAAGGCCGTGACACATATTTGCCAGCATGTGAATGATGCATGCTAAATGTGGCAAGAATGAATGGAAAATCACAAGGGACTCCAGTAACTTTTCTGCTGCAACTGAAAGTTTCCTTTCTTCTCTCAAGACCAGCAGCTGCTGCCTTTTCATCGGATTGACCTGATGTCCGTCAATCCGAATGAATGACAGAGAGGCAAGCAAGCAAAAGTTTTCAGTTGTAAGAGATTGTTTGTCAACATTTTTCCATCTTATTTTCCGATTGCATTGTACAACTGCATCGATTTAGGGAGCGCAGGAAGGATGTAAGGATTCAGTCCTCAATGCTGTGGGCTCCTGCTCCGGCTGGGGCTGCTTCTTTTGACCATGATGTGTTTATGCGTTTTACCAACTGCTGGGCCATAAATCTGGAAACTATCCTCACATCCTCTCGTGGCATTTGGCCAGAAAAATCGGAGGCCACAGACACAGAGGCGTCACTCAGTCGGCGAGTGAGTGAGTCACCGAAGAGCTACTCCTGTGCTGTGTCAGGCAGCAGCAGCAGCAGCAGTCGCTTGCAAGTTAGATTCTCTGCCACCGAACATGTGTGCGTTTGGGAGGGGAATTCTATTTGCTGCCGTTTTGTGAGGCCGCACGGGGCGGGTGCCTTCGAAAACTCTCCTTTTGTGGCGCTCAAGAGCTCAAAACTCGAGCAGCAGAAATTCAATTCAATTGCTGCAACGTGGCAGGCATGCATGCCACACACACAGACACACACAGATGTGCCACATGCCACACACACACTTAGCTACATGCATATATCATGACATGGCCCAGAAAAGTATGCTATGGCAAAATGTTTCTGGCAACGAGCTGCCAAATTGCAAAGAAACCTAAAGAGGGGAGGAAAGTAGGGTAGGTGGAGGAGAAAGTACCAGAGAATGCAGAACAGAATAGAGCCGAGAATAGAGAGAGAAGAGTGGAGAGATGGCAGATAGCTATGAGGGTTTTGGGGGTGTAAAAAATGCAAATCTCATGCATGGTTCTGCCAAAAATATCAAGGCACATGGCCATGACCGCACACGATACGGCCCAGAATGAGGGCCAGGGCAGGCCAGGGCAAAGCAGAGCAGGGATAGGGAGCGTCACTGACACCATTACCTTCTCCTGTCATAGACTTTGCACCGAACTGGCACTGCGGTCCAGTGCCACTACCACTCCGACGCTCTACTAGCACTTTTAGGCCGCCTTGTTTTGCAGCCTGTCGCCGCAAATGCAACGTGACGACGTGTGCGAATTTGTTTACTGTAATTGTCTTCACTGTACAACGGAGAAAGACATAAAAAGAGCCAGAGAGAGAGGGAGAGAGAAAGAGGAGACAGAAGTGTGGGAGGTTGGTGAAGCAGCAGCAGCAGCAGCAGCAGCAGCAGCAGCAGCAGCTGTAGTAGGTAGCTCCTCTGTGGTTCTCTCCGTCTTTTGGCATTAGCCAAGTTTTGGCTGCAAGCCAAGAAAGCGCTTAGACCGCAAAACACTTGGCTCTGGTAGTGGATTTTGTGCATACCTTGACATATTTCGAGAGTCCTTTACTCCTACTACAATCTCTATCTCTCTCGCCCTTACCCTCATCCTCCATCTCTCCTTCCGCCTCCCCTCTGCAGTAGCAGCGTATGCTACTTGTAGGCATTTTCAATTTGCAAATTTCCACAATTTCCAGCAAGTGTGCGGATAATCAGAGGGAGCAAAATAAGAGCGTGTGGGTTGGCTCATGAGTTACGAGTATTTGTATTCCCACTCTGCCATCAAAATGTCTAAAAGGTTTGCCCCTGAATGGCGTTAATTAAAACAGAAGCTTGTGTGGAATTACACTTTTGATAGACACGGGACGAAAATTCCATGAGTTTTTGGCATAAGCAAGAGATTGAAGATTTTTCTTGATTTAAATGGGTTTGGATCGTCGGATTAGATTATTCTCAGTAGACAGAACTTTCTTATTAGTTTTTCTTTTAATCTGAAGCTTTGGACTTCTACTGATCTAAGTATATCTGTGCACACTGACACATGTAAGCTCTCTGAAAACCCCTTTGGAAAGCGAGGAAATAATCCTTTCACTCTGATTTACGAGCATGTACTTCTCTCTAAATATTTACTCTATGAAATATACAACAAGTACGAGTATAATCCCCAGAAAATGTTCTTTTTGGTATACATTTCAAGTAGCATAATTTATAGTCTTGATTGAATCAGTGGACTTTTCTACAAAGAAAAATAAAACAGAAACAGAATGCAATACACGGGTCACAGAATACTGAACGAGTGGTAAAACGATTGGCTAGGGCCATAAATTCACTAATAAATTTATAAGACAGCATTCAACACCCAACAAACACACACAACACACAAATAAAAACATCCGTTGGTGTGTCTCTAGGGAGGAGGAGGGAGAGACTGAAATTGAGTGGCGGAAGGAGAGGGCGGCAACTGCATGTCACACATAATAATTTCATTTCGTTTTTATCAAAAATTGTTGACAACTACTTGTCAAACACGAACAATTTGTGCCACACAGGGAAAGCAGGAAAGCGAGATAACAATTAAGTAAACAAATGCACTAAAGGCAGAAACGAGAGAGAGAGAGAGAGAGAGAGAGAGAGAGAGAGGGTGGCCGGCAGCCCACGGGGTTCAGGGGTTAGGATAGGGGGCCACGCCACACAGCCACATCGATATGCTTGGGCTGTTGTTCGTTTTATGGTTCGTTGAATTTCTAGCTCCGACTATGACACGTTTTCCCTGTCATAGATCATCATCATTTCATCGTTGGGGTAGATCATACACAGTTCCTCTCCCCTCCTCACTATCTCTCCTACCCGAGAACATCTTGGTTCGTTGAACTGTTTATTTTTGGTTTCTCTGCCTGTTGCCGCGATAATTTGCCATTTCCTCCATTCATATCTTATCGATCCGAAGCAAGCCAAGCGGCATTCCTATCATTTCAGCTATCAAAAGTCAGTTGCTGGGCCTAAAGCAAAGATTATCAGTTCTGAAACTGAGGCTAGAAAAAGGTAGCGAAATCTATAGAGTACATTTTGGCTTAATACTGTGGATAAAGGCATAATGTAACAACAAGTAAAGATCATTTGTGGATAATCAATGGACTGATACGTCAAGAAATGATATTTTTATCACACGGAATGCTCCAGTTAATTCACCAATTACAGCTTCACAGATGAGGTCAAGGTTTTGGTCTCAAAGCCCCCGTCAAGGCAACTGTCAAATGCAGATGATTGCCACAGTCAACAAAAATGTATTCCAGTTGAATTTCCACACACTAAAAACTCGACTACAGTGTGGCTATGCCACAGTAAACATCAGCAAAGGCTACCTCATGGGTTCATCTGCCTGGTTGCCACTGTCTGTTGCATATTCAATTATTTGTTTGTTATTTCTGCAGACGTTTGCCGGGGC